CCCAATGTTCATAGCAGCAGTGTCTACAATAGCTAAACTGTGAAAAGAGCCGAGATGCCCTTCAACAGATGAATGGATAAAGAAGATGTGGTCCATATATACAATGGAATATTACTCAGCCATCAGAAAGGTTGAATACCCAACTTTTACATCAACATGTATGGGACTGGAGGAGATTATGCTAAGTGAAATAAGTCAAGCAGAGAAAGTCAATTATCATATGGTTTCACTTATTTTTGGAACATAAGGAATAGCATGGAGGGCATTAGGAGAAAGAAGGGAAAATGAAGGGGGGAGGAATCAGAGGGAGAGATTAACCATGAGGGACTATGGACTCTGATAAACAAACTGAGGGTTTCAGAGGGGAGGAGGGTAGGGGGATGGGTTAGCTTGGTGATGGGTATTAAGGAGGGCACGTACTGCTTGGAGCACTGGATGTTATACGAAAACAATGAATTATGGAACACCACATCAAAAACTAATGATGTACTGTGTGGTGACTAACAACATAACAAAATAAAATAAAACTTAAATAAATAAATAAAATCTTAAAAAAAAGAAAATTTGTTGGCTCTAATAAACATCTGCAGCTTGTGTGGAGTAACGATGTGGGAGATAACTGAGAAACTTGGATGCCAGTACCAGTGACAGGAGTATTCCATGTTCTTAACAAGAGGTGATAGCTGATTATGGTTCTCTTCACATAACCGAGGAGTATAAACAATTATTTAACCTAAGGGAGAACTTGCTAATTGTCAGAGCTGACTAAAAGTGGGATAGGCTGCCTTGGGATTCTGTAAGTTCCTTATCCTGAGTTCTTTTTGGTGGAGATACTGCAGATCAGATCCAAGAACCTATTGGATGGTTGTAGTACATAATCTTTAAGCTCTTTTTCAACCCTGAGAATATGTTTGCAGTATTTAGCATAATGCCTGGCACACAGTAGATGTGCAGTATATGCTAAATAAAATATTTGTGGACTTCGTTATGCCACAAGAGCAAAGAACGAAACAAAAAACGAGGACAAGTAGAAATAGAACTTTGAATGTAGTCAGGTTCACATCTGTCTGTCTCTCTGTGTCATCTTGTCCTGTTACTGCTCTCTATCTTGGCTTTATTGAAAGCTATACATAGTGTAGTGGTTAAGAGTTTGTATTCTGAAGCGAGACTGCCTGGATTAGACTACCAGTTCTGCCTTTTACAAACTATATGACCTCAGACAAGGTAAACCTTAATTTTCTGTTAAAAGAGAGCAATAACGTTCCTATCCCAGGGTTGTTGTGAGAATTAAGTGAAATATAAAAGTTTAAGTCACTGCTTGGCAGGTAATAAATGCTATAGAATTGTCTGGTATAATTATTAGTGTTTTCTTCTTGAGATGGTGTTCTCTATAGGGCAGTACATAGACTACCTGTTACTCTATACTGACATCTTCACCATTTCCCCTTGTCTTTGTTTCCTACGGCTGCCATAACAAATGACCACAAACTGGGTAGTTGACAACAACAGAAATTTATTCTCTTACAGTTCTGGAGGACGGATGTCTAAAATCAAGCCACCCAGGCGCCCCATAGTGTTGGGGCGCCTGGGTGGCTCAGTCGTTAAGTGTCTGATCTTCGGCTCAGGTGGTGATCCCAGGGTCCTGGGATCGAGCCCCACATCGGGCTCCCTGCTCGGCGGGGAGCCTGCTTCTCCCTCTGCCACTCCCCCCTGCCTGTGTTCCCTCTCTCGCTGTCTCTCTCTCTGTCAAATAAATAAATTAAAAAATAAAAATAAAAAAAAAGTAAAATCAAGGTGTTAATAGGGCCACCTTCCATCCAGAGACTCCAGGGGAGAGTTCTTCCTTGCCGCCTCCAGCTTCTAGTTGTTCCCGGCATGCCATGTCTTGTTGCTACATAACTCCACTTTCTGCCCTCCATCTTCACAAGGCTCTCTCCCTCATCTGTCTTAAATCTCCCCTTGTCTTTCTCTTCTAAGGACACTTGTCACAGTCTTACGGCCCACTTGGGTTAATCCAGGATGATCTTATCTCAGAATTTTTAATTACCTCTTCAAACATTCTTTTTCCAAATAGGGTAACAATCATAGGTTCTGGAGATTAGAACGTGGACATATCTTTTGTTGGGGGTCACAATTTAATTCACTATGCCACCAAACAGGAGAGTGGCCTTTTCCTCTACTTCTCTCCTGTAGACTGAACGTGTACCCCCCAAATTCATATGTTGAAACCTAATCCCCAATGTGATATTTGGAGGTGGGCCTTCAGGAAGTGATTAGTATCTTAAAAAAAAAAAAAATAGACCCTGGTTTTGCACAATGGCAGTATCGTAGCCAATGAGATTTATCTGAGGTGCTGCAATTATGGCTGATTGAAAAAAAAAAAATAGACTCTAGAAAAATCCCTGATGCCTTCTGTCGTGTGAAGGCATAGTGAAAAGATGACTGTCTATAAACTAGAGAGTGGGTCCTTGCCAGACACAGAATCTTCTGGTGCCTTGATTTTGGACTTCTCAGCATCCAGAACTGTAAGAAATAAAATTTCTGTTGTTTATAAATCACCCAGGCTATGGTACTCTTGTTACAGCAGCCAGAATGGATTAAGACCCCTCCCACTTGAAAAATTCCAAGGAAGAACGTTGAAGGTTGAGTTTTGTTTGGGGATGTTCATAGGCTAACCAGTCACAAGCCACTCCTAGTGGTGCAGGTGCCAGGAGTATTGGCATTATAACTGATCTCTCCCTCTCCTTTCACAGCAGGCCCTCAGGCATGTATGTATTTATGTGAATAGATATTCCTTTGCTTTCCTAGTTTTGGTCTCATTCTGGCCTACTAGATTATTGAGTGTATTTTCCAGCTGGACAGTATCCTTTGAAAGAAGTTCAGACTTGTTTTTGTTTTTGTTTGTTTGAGTCCCAGGCCTTACTTGCCACTAGCTCATTGTTTGGAAGATGCTGCTTGATTTAGAAAAGTGATTGCCTTATTGACACACGTTGCAGTGCTTAGAAACTGAAGTTCTCCATAAGGCAGGCTTCCCAGGAGTTCCGTTTTCTTCCCTAAGTGGTGATCCATCAATGTAATCCTTTTTAAAGAACAAATTATTTACTGTAACATTTGATCTGAAAATGCATTATCATTGATAGATCCCTGCAATCTACTCTTCCATTAGCTTTCTGGTAATACAATCTCTCTTTTATTCTTAACATATCCAGTACTTAGGTATGGAACTAGAACTTTCTATAGAGTCCCAAAGTGTCACCGGCTGTCAAAGTCTAAGCTTAGTATTCAGATAGATGGACAAATTTCAGTCACCTATACTAGTATCCTACTAATGAAGAGGAATCTGTAGTAATCCTTCCAGAAGCTACTATGCATAGAACTGATTGGCAGATTCTCTTCTCTCAGATAAGAGAAGGCCAGTGATACATAATTCTAGATTAATCTGTGAAGATTATGATAAAACAGTGATCATTTCTTAAATTATTTTAAGTAGTAAAAATACCTCTTTGAAGCAACACTTGGCAAACAAGTTTCTCTCTCTCTCTCTCTCTCTCTCTATATATATATATATATATACTGTAAAGACTACTGAATAGTATCCAGGTGCCTGGACAAGTCAAGGAGAGCTCCACAGCTCTGTCACTGTGGTTAATAAGGATTGTCAGAGGAGGAGAAATTAGGAAAAAGAAGAGAGTGGGTAAATTATTGAGAATCTGAATGTGAAGCTGGCAATATGAATGAATTACTTAGTTCATGTTCTATCATAATGTTTGAAACAAGGAGTGCGCAGCTAAGAAGCAGACAAAATGACAGATTTTAAGATAGCAGTCGTTTTATTCTTCATGTTAGGTAGTTTATTTGATTATTAACTTTTGTGTTAGTACTTACACATTTTTGCAAGATATCCGTAGAATGATAAAAAATGCATTCCTAAGTGTTAGATATAAACTTTTACTATACAAGTTGACACAAAATCCAGTTTTTACTATGTTTTGATTTGTGTTTTTCAAATTTTGAAAGATTCATTATTTCCTCAACCTTGCAAAGTCATTTCCATGCTTCTTATTTGATCATATGACATTTGTACTATCATCCACATAGACCTCTGTAAATATTACATGACTTTACTCCCTAGCAAAACCTTCATTTTGACCTATCATAGGTCACAGAAATGTCTTCAATTTGAACTCCCTGGAGGGTAGCAAGTTTCTTGGTCAGGAAAATGAACAGTGAGAGAGACAAGTATTCATCTATGAATAAATTTCTTAGGCCTAAACCCAAAGAAATACACAAAGCAGGGCATTATAAAAAGAAAGACTTTTAGAGAGTGCTCAAAATCGCATAGTTGGCTTACATTGTCAGGACTTGGGATATCTGGTGGCACCTGGGTCATCAGGTTCTCTCTGCACTTGCATCATGATTTTTAAGCCTGGCTACACATTGCAACAACTTGGAAGTCTTTTAAAAGGATATTAATGTCAGAATCTGACCCCCAAGGATAGTGACTTAATTGGTCATTATTCATATATTCATATGCCTGGGCATTATTCATATATTTATATGTATATATAATTTCTTTTAAAGTTCTCTAGGTAATTCCAATGTTCAACCAGGGTTGGAAACCACTGATTTACATGAGCAGAGACTATCAACAAAATCTCAGCTGCTAGATAAAACTATTTAAATCCACTGTTCATGCTTTACATTTGTAGGTAAGTTGCTCATGCAGTACCAGAATGAGGTAGAAATTAGTGATTCTCCACTTTGGCTAAACATGAGATGACTCATTTCAGGAACTTTGACAAATCTTAATACCCAGACACATCTAGACCAATTAATTCAGAATCTCTAAGGGTGAGACTTGGGCATCTTTTTTTTTTTTTTTTTTAACCTCTCTCTAGGTGATCAAATGTAAAGCCAATTTTGAGAACCATAAATCTAAATAAATCTTTGTTGAGTTGATTTTTCTTTAAATGGTCTCACTCCAACTCTTTCTTTTTCAGGATATTATAGATAGACTTATAATTTTGAATTCAGAAGCTAAGATTCGTTCTTTATTCAACTATGAACAATCACACATCTTTGGTCTAAGGTAAGGTGCTAAATTTTACCTGAGGTACATTTTCTATCTTGCAGAAACAATTAAGCATATGTTCTGTATACTTTCAAAAAGTATTGAAAATGAGCAAATTTTTAAAGCATGTTTAAAGGTAAGTTGTAACTTCAGACAAAATAAATATAGCTATTAGGTTTTTATATAATGGCTTTTGTCTACATTTAGGCTCTGTATTAGTACAATGTCTTCCACTTTTGTTTGATTTATATTACAAATGCCTCTTTAAAAAGAGGCATTTTGCTTACTCTACAGTTTACTTGGGAGTCAACTGGGGTTTCCCTGGGTTGGTATTTGATAGGACTCCTTCCATAATAGAGACTTGAAAGAGGCCTGAAAATGCATGATTTATCTTGAGGCTCAAATTTTGCTCCTCGATGTTAACCATTACTCCTTAATCTCAGTTTTCCCAAGGTTTAAACCTTTTTGGTCATATATAGACCTATAATTTGTTTTCCTATCTATAAATTAGCACTTTTAAAAACAGCTGGATAGGTTTGTGTTTCTTTTTTTTCCCCCCTTTCTACTAGCAAAGTAACTTTTTCAGCCAACAGGGAGGGGGTCAGTGAGAATGCTCTACCTAAGAAATAAAGCAATCACTTTTCTAAAATTAGAATCTCTGATGGTAGTATATATTATATATATACTATAGATCTATATATATCTATAGATCTTATACGCAAACTTTTTTTTTTTACCATTAATAGCTGAGTTTCATTTTTGGACTTTTTAGTTCAAAGAAGGTAGAAAAACTATAGCTATTATAGTTCTTTGAATGGTGTGTCCTTTATCTCAAAATGTATTTTCACATTACATTTTAACTTCTCATGTATAGCATCAGGTACATCATATAGCAAGCAATGATGAAAATACTAGGAAAAATCTATTCAGTAGAACTTGCTTCTGCATAGCAAGTATATTTCTGAGTTTTGTAGTTATAGAAAATAGATTCTAGCTTCTTTTTACTGATACAGTGAGTGAATGTCTTTTTCTTTATATAAAGAATAGTAGTATTTTTCCCTAGTATTCTTGTTAAAAAAATAATAGGATTTTAATTCATGTAAAAAGCCATCTAAGAAGTCAAATGTCCCAGGGAATAAAATATATTAATTTGCATAGCATGTGCTTTTTTCACATGGAATGCAATATCCAAATGGAGTCATTCTGTTCTCTTTTTTTTTTTTTTAAGATTTTTTATTTATTTGAGAGAGAGAGAATGAGAGAGAGCAGGAGAGGGAAGAGGGTCAGAGGGAGAAGCAGACTCCCTGCTGAGCAGGGAGCCTGATGCGGGACTCGATCCCGGGACTCCAGGATCATGACCTGAGCCGAAGGCAGTCGCTCAACCAACTGAGCCACCCAGGTGCCCCCGAGTCATTCTGTTCTACACGAGAAAATTTGCCATGGCATTGTCAATACATGTAATAGAGTTGTGTAGTATACAGTGGTTAGATCAGCAACATGGACTCTGGAGTCAAGACTGCTTGCTCTTTACTAGCTGTGTGAGTTGGGATCTCAGATACCATCTGTAAGACAGAGGAAAATTATATTATTTTCTTCATAGAACTATTATGGGAATTGCATAAGAAAAATTAAAATGACTTAACAGTGCCTGGCATGTAGCAAGCACTATAAAAATATTCATAATAGATGTAGTAGTAGTACTTCAAGTGTTTATATCTGCTTGCTTTATATGATTTTTGTGTTTGACTAGGAAGTAAATTTTGTCTTCATTCTTTCAGTACCCCCGTAGTCTTCTACATGCTGCCAAGTAATTTGCTATGTTTACAGCATCAGCAATAAGAGAAAG